ATAATCAATGTTCTATAATCAATGTTGAATTAGTTTTTTCTCATAAATTAATATTTAAAAAGTCATAAGTATAAAATGAAAATTCTATAATTTGTCCATAATGTAAATCTACATAATCTATATAATTACTATAAATTGAAATATAAATAGATTGAGCAAAATAGTTCCAAAAAATACAAGTAGCAACTTTAATGTACCTCTAAAAGACGTCTATGAGAATAGTTAATTAAAGGCACTGATTGCAATCCATTCTGACCACTTTCTAACTCAACATTATCAAATTTGTAACTTAAAAATAAGATATTCTTAATAGTCTTTTTCAAGTCTTTTTTGGCACTTAATTCTTCCCCCACTTATTTCTAAGTAGAGATAGAACGATGTCTGTGGGTGCGATCGAGTTGTCGCTACGAATGCTTTGAAGCATTTGATTGACCATTCGGAAGAAAGAATTTTACTAATTGACCAATCAAAAAATGCTTCAAAACATTCATAGCGGCAACTTGACCGCATTTTATGTAATCGATAAGAAATTCTTTCTTTCACGTCTTGGAAAAATTTCACTTATACCTACCTAGAAATACAATCGAGCGACTTTTCGATTGCACAAGAGCGATTAGTAATAATAACGTAACATTCATAGTTTAAGTGTCGTTACTTAACGTACATAGTATCATAGTTGATTATTCATTTACAAATCATTGTGAGTGCAATTATAGAAAGAATGCAATTATAGAAAGAAAGTCCGCAACATTGTATATGTCGTATATATCTTAATTCACATGAGTTCGTTCAATCGTGCGAAACCATGAATCGATTACGCGTTTCATCAAACATAAGTGATACGACATCGCCCGCAAAAATTACCGCTCGAATCTTCAATATTCACAATTCGGAAGTAATGCATACGAAAATTTCATCATGCGTTCAAGTCCACAGACCGTGAACGTCATATTCGTCCAAGCTAGCTTTCACTAATGAAATTGGCTGCTCGATCTCTTTCCATAAATTATCAAAATTATGTCCTTTAACGAAAAATCGGTGAGAAAGTCGACGATCATTTAATTAATCAAAGCGAAAATGCATTTCGAAAAATATTTACATTCAGAAAATATATTCGCTCGTAAGAACTATTTATTAGATCTTAATATTATCACAATACATAGAGTGCTTTCCAATTGTAAAATCACTATACATTTTCGTGAACACGGTGACATAAAATTCTAATTATCGTAATCATTGACACACATCTGTACTCAGTCCAAAGGCTACAAATCAATTGTGTAAGCTTGTATTTTTGTAATAATTACATGTTACTATCATGGTAACTATAAGATTGGAAGATAATAGACTGTTTTTTTTTGTGCTTCTCATTCAATACAGGTAGAAAAAGAATTTTACTTTTAACTTAATTCTATCCTTATCTAAATCGTACGTGACGCATTTGTTCTAATTGAATCGTGCATAATGCTACATTTTATTCCTATGTATATTTATATTAAAATATGTTAAGCAATTAGAAAGCACTCATGTAATTTAAACAATTACATAAAGTATATATACAAAAAAAAATGCTCGTCACAGTCGGATATTTGTTATGTCAGTCGTAAAATAATGATTTCATCAGTCTTTTCGTCTTGTAAGGAATTCTATCGATCAATTTTTACATTCATTCATGTTGCCTACCGATCATCTGAACATACCTGTAGGCCCTTTTACAACCGGCCTGATGTATCAACAGATTCTCTTTAACAAGATCAAATTGTTTTTCATTGAGCGTCAACTTGCTCTCTTTGATCGCATCTATAATGCAACTCTCTAAAGCATTCTCATTCAAAGAATCATAGAAAAAAATTTCAACTTCAATATTTTTGTTGAGAAAAGCGTTTTTTATTACGGCTGCATCATGGAGCCGATTTCTTATTCGTATCTCGAGTTCAATTAAATCTTCGAAGTTGAAAATGGCCAGTATGGTCACGAAGCGATTCTTATACGTGTCTCGACGGGCCTCTAGAAAGTTTACAAAGGCCGTTAAATCGCGTTTTTTCAAATTTTCCAGAATAATTAGATTCGGATATAAGAGAGGAAGGTTGATGTCATTCACGGCTTCCAATGGCGGGAAATATTGACGAATAGCATACTTTCGTGGGAAATTCCTTCTTATGATATCTACCGTGTATGATTTACCGACGCCTGTGTCACCGAAGAGAACTATCACTTTGAAAGAGGGTACATCACTCTGAAGATATTCACAGAGTTTCTGCAAATTGTGACCATGAATTCGCTCCTTTAATTCAATAACGGCATTCGCAAAATCATTGCTATGCTTGCGAGTCTCCTGATTTTCATACAAGTACACCGAGATAAAAGCTACAAGTATCGTAGATAATAATAGTAAAAACATAGAACGTTTACAGAAGAAAAAGTTCTTTTTCAGCGGATGTTTAGCTTGAGGATCGCGTTTGTTGCAGCTATCAGTAGTAAAAATGGCAGAAGAATCAGACAGAGTAATTGGATGGAGATTGTCTAATACATCCTTCGATTTCTTTGTAGGTGTTATATTGTCTTCGTTCACAGGATTTGAGCCCTGTCTCTTCTCAGGTTTTTGTTTCTCAGATTTTATTTTCAATTTTGGGCGCAAACTAGTCTTCTTTGAAAAAATAACAGATTTAATTGTACCAGCCTCTTCTGGTTGATATACAGTATATTCCTCTGTTGATTGATTCGCTGATTCAACTTCCATATGTTCCAACTGATCTTTCATTGGTGTAGTGTTTCTTATAAATGATCCTTGGTTACATTGCATGCTCCAGTTCAGATTTTCAATACCATGATTGTAGTGTGGAAAAACCCATGTACTCATACGGTCACTGTTAACTTTTAACATCCTATCTTGGAACCTTATGCTGCAAATAATATTTTATTCATTCTATTCGGCATTATATCTTTAAGTTATATTGATTACATCAACATGTGTCATGTTCAAATTGAATTCAGCATTAATTTTATAAATTTGATATGTATTACCACAGCAGTCAGCAAAGAAGTCCTTTAATGATCTTATCTTGACCTTATGTTTTCAAAATCATATCTCTAAAACTTGTGGTACACAATGCTTATTTTCCTGCTGGATTAGAATCTTATCGTATTGGCTGTGATGCTGGCACTAACAGCATCGCAACCAATATGGCAAGATTCTAATTCAGCTAGCAATCTAACAAGAAAACAAGCATCGTATGTCACAGATTTAAGTGATCTCTAACAAATTTTAGCCATCGCTCGTTATTTGTTAAAATATTATTAATAAAATAAATTTTATAAATATGAAATATTTACACATATATATATATATATATACACATATATATGTATATATATATACATATTTAGCTTAACATGTATATACACATATATATGTATATAAACATATTTATCTTTCTCGATTTTATATTATCCCATATTTTTCTCTATTTACAAAATGTTAAAGACATTTATATTGTCAATTTTATATCAACAATTAAGTCGAACATTTCTTGATAGGAAAAAAATGTTAGATGGCTCTCACCTTATATAAAATATCTTTATATCATGTTGACAACATAAAAGAAGAATATCATATAAATTATATAGCAGAATAACTAATAAAATCTATATCTTGTGTTTAAAAATTACCTTTTATTTATAAAAATTGTTTAGTTAATTTTTTAATGAATAACGAATGACAGCTAAAACTTGTTGGAGGTTACTCAAAAAAAGTCATATGTATCAACAATATGTATCAAGATCATAGGGGCTGATTCCTCCATGCGCAATTATCAAATAAAAAAGTACCTTAATTCTCTGTTACTCCCATATAGTTCGCAACTGTATGGTCTGATTAAAGCATGCGAATTGTCGCTCGTGTTGTATTTGAACGACTGGTTATTGGATGGCAACAATCCAGGTAAAGTATTTGATCTAACTCGTTCTGTCTCAGATGAACGATAAACTTTCCAAATATTTTTAAAATCTTTATTCTCCTCCATAATATTTCGAAGAAGATCTAAAGCTTCCTGCGAGAAAGACATATGACAATAAGAAATAACCTACAAACTATAGCACATTTACATTTATCTATAGCCCTCGTTTTTTATCTAAATCGGAACATTCCGAGGGATCTTTAGTCAAAGAATTTACTTGATTTCATTTTTACCTTTATAACTTGAGCAAAATTAAGCAATAGTATTCGAGAATCCGGAAATCACACTTGGTTATCAACGTATAAATAAATCAAGACTCGGAATGAGTGAGGAAACGCTTTTTCAACTCGAAACTCTAATTCGAAACGAAATTATCGCAAATACCGCAACTGAATTAAGTGTGAGCCGATCAGCTGACATATGGTTGTAGTCACAAAAACTCCAATCGTCCTAGATCACTTCATCCTTCGTCCTAACCAGCATAGCTTAGAAGCCTATTTGTGTTCAAATGCGAATACGCGACGCCAACGATCTAGCTCATCTAATATCTACCACTTCGAATTGTCATGAATAACAAAATTATTGAATTGATTGAATTCCTCAATCGCCCAATCATCAAATTACACGTATCTCTTCTCACAGTCTTTAAATAGATTTTTTGTAATGTGAAAATTAAAGTGTAATCTTGGAAAGGTCAACGTGTCCGTTTTTTTCAAGCTACACTCTATATTGTACTATCTGCACTCGCGGACCGAACGGTAAAGCAAACACGCCCGAAGAGGAAAGAATAAGCTACAGGCCATCGGGCGTCGCCGTCTCCCCGATGAAAATTTTTGTTAAAATTTTTCATAATTTTTCAAAATTTTTATATAAATTTCAAAAATGATGAATTAGAATTTTTTAATAATTTTATAATTTTCTAGAAAATTTCTTAATTGTTTATATAAATAATTTCTTAATTTGTTTATATACATGGTTTATATACATTGGAACACTTCAAAATAAATGTCGAAGTCTGCATCTTTTCTAGGATTCTTATCAAATATGAACGCTGAAACATTTTTAGATTTCTAAAGTTTTTTATTCTAAAATTTCCGATAAAAAATTTAAAAATTTAAGAAAAAATTTTAACATTAAGAATGACGATAGATGTCGAAAATGACATATATACAAAATTCTAAGAAAGGCTGTAAACTTTTTCAATATTTTCGAAAACATATTCCAATTCATATATAAATTATGAAAAAAATGTTTATCAGGCCGGCCCTGGCGCAATGAAACCGAGGCTATGTTTCGATATTTATACCAGTATTGAAAATCTATAGTGTACGTAACGTATATTATAGATTTTCAATACAGAAAGTGAAAATCGGAATGTAATCCGATTAGAGGATTCGCATAAAAAAAAAAGAAAAGAAAAACTGTTTGACATTTTTCTTGACTAGCCAAAGTAGCGCGCTGAACCTAATTAAAATTCAGTTCATTTGTGCACGCGGTCCGATTCACATGTTCCTTCGTTTTACTCCAAGAACAACAGGTCATCACAATAACGTTAAAACGACGTTAAAATGAATCCCGATTGATCGAAAAGTGACTTTTTATAATCACTTTGGAGCCATTTGAATGTCATTATAATGTCATCATAATTTTTAATTGTTCCGTTTGACTGCGACACTGCAGATCGCGCAAAGTATTAGCGGTCCAGTCCGACGGTTCCGACCGTACCAGTCCAGTCAATCGAGACTGCCTGAACCACCTCAGTTCCTGCTCGCGTATCGACGAGCAAAGGCGAAGAAGATTTTCTAATGCGGCGCGCGCCGTCCTCCCTTGTGATGTGACACCCGGTGTAGTGATCGACGGTGCGGCAGCGAGAGAGCCGAGAAAAGAAAATGCAGCGGTCAAGCGCGGTTGTCATGGCGCGCGTTTGCCTGTCACTTCTGCTGCTGGTGGCCGTGGCAAGCGCGAGGATCCACAAGCTGGACATACGGGTTGGTTACGTCTTCCAGACGGCGCCGTCCGTCATTATCGTTATCACGCGCCTTGATTCTTACTTGGAGAAAGAAGATGACACGCGCGGATTCCGAAACGCGTCTACGAGTTTATCGAGTGTCACTTTATCGATGAGTGAGCAATTTTCACACGCGATGCAAAATAGGTCCTGACGGGAAAATCGAAGGACATTGCGATACTCTGTACATATAACGGCCATACAAAATCGTGAGAAACGAGCGGTATCATCAATAATATCGTGCGCGCGTCGATAATTCCGAAGCGCATATTACGCTGATGCATGTAATTTACATCATGATTGTCGGGTTTATCAAATGTGATTGTAACTGATGATAAACTGATAGACACGTCTGACTGATGCTTATGCAATGATTCTTTCCAACGCAAGAATCGTCCTAGATAGGATCATAAACTGACGTTTTTTTCTGGGTCTTAGAAGAAATCCTTTTCACTCAAAGAAAAACATAGTAGTAGCAACTATAAAAGTGACAATTATACAAATTTTTATATATAGAATTGATGCACATATTATTTGTAGTTAAACAAACTATTATTAATAAAACCATTGCAAGTATAAAATAGTTTGTTTAACTATATGTGTACACTTAATTTTACATATAAAACTTGTATAGAATCGTCATCTTTATAGTTACTACATATTTTTTTTTCTCTGAGTGCGGAGGATCCAAACAAGAATCCGGAATAATAAGCTGACATGAAGATTATCTGGGACTAGCAAAGTTGACATTTTTTTGTCTAGTCATAGAAGAAATCGTCTGTCAACTCAAAGAAAAACATGATAACTATATACAAATTTTATATATGTAGAATTAATGCACACACATTAGTTAAACAAAGTATTTTATATAAGTATTATAATTATAAAATAGTTTGTTTATAACTATGTACATTAATTCTATGTATAAAGCTTGTACAAAAAATTGTTATCGTATGTTATTCATAATTGCTATCATTATTATTTTTCTGAGTGAATAGGATTCCTTCAAACAACAATCATCCTAGATAGCAAGCTGACTTGAAATTTTTTTATCTGGAATAGTTCTAAGAAGAATTATCTGCCATCAATTATATGCACTCAATTAAGAAATTATAGTGACTAAAAGTGACAATTTTCTCATCATAAGTTTTATATAGAATTAATGTACACACATATACATTAATTCTAGTTATACATACTATTTTAAAATAATTACATCTAAATAATAAAAGTTTATTTAGAAATATTATGTGTGTTACACATTAATTCTATATAACTTATATAAAAAAAGCCGTTATAATTGCTGCCACTGTTTTTCTCTAAATGCAGAGGATTCCTTCAAACAACAAATTGTTTTACTTTTGACAAGTTTTATATGTAGAATTAGTGTGCATAATCGAACAAACTATTTTATTTTTGCAATTTATAATTGTTACTTAATTTTGACAATTGTGAAGATTGGAGTTTCATTAAAAAAATTTAAATCTTCGAAAAATATATTTGTGCCAATAGAAAATAACGAATATATATTCGTAAATGTACTCGTATATTTGTAATGAAAATGTATTACTATTCACCACATTAAATTAATTATTATAATTTCGATACTTCAAAATTTTAAAGATCGAAGTTCCGAAATTTCGCATAAAAATTTCGATCTTCGAAAATTTTAATGTTGAAACCTTCGAAGCAAATCATCAGACTTTCAATAACTATAAAATAGTTTATTCAATTATATATATGTACATTAATTCTATATACAAAATTTGTACAATTGTCACTTAAACAGTTGTCACTTAAGTTTTTTTCTCTGAATGTGGGCAATCGCAATGTACACTGTTACGGATTACTCTAATTTATGCAGTTACGTAGTATGTTCCTAGGAAAAATTTCCAGAAGTTTTCCCATAAAGAGAAAAGCCGAAGAATGTCGACGTGCGAGTCGTCGGACCCTTCGCACATATCTGTTCCTTTCCGGATCCTCTGCTGAAGAATGGTTCTTTGATTCTCTCGCTCTCCCTTCTGATTCTTGGCAGAATGCGTAGCCGTTCTCGCTCACGGAAGTGTCATTCGTATTTCAGAAGGACGGCAGGCACTACATCACCCTGAGCACATTTGGCTTCTACAAAGGCGGTATTCTGACCGTGAATCTCACGAACTTCAAGTTCGAGCCGGCGGATGTCAACAAAAAGCTGACACCGGAAAGCGCGAGCAAGGCCGTGGTAAGTTGCTAATAATAATCGGCCTGTAATTTCCGCAAACTACATACACATACATTTCGGTGCGTCTACGACATATATACATTGTGAAATCATTTGGATTTCAAAAAATTTGTAAGAAATTTTCAAGGCAACGCTTTTTTAAAAAATTGTTGGAGAAACAACTCTGGCGGAAAAAAATTTTTTATGAGAAAGTACAGAAAAATTACATAAATTGAGATGAGGTCTTAGTTTTAAGAAATTTTTAGTTTATATTCTATGAAAAACTAGTAATTTCTAAAATCTTGTCTATGTAGTTTTTCATAAAAACTTTTCCGCCAGAAAAGAATTGTTCTGTGACTGTAAATGTAAGGAAATCAATTCTGAATAGCTCTTTTAATTTTGATGTTGATCTTGCAATAGTCTCAGAATTAGCGAATTTTCCATCATAATAGTCTTATATAATATATAATAATATTATGACGAAAAATTATCGCTAATTAAAATTCAAAGTCAATTAAAGCTTAACGTTATTAATATATAATATATATAATATATATATTAGTAACTTTAAGCTTTAATTGAGAGATAGTAACTTTGCAACAATGCGATATATCGCTCTGTTGTACAGTAACAGACACCTGTTTCTGTCTTCCGCACTCACGAGGAGAAACACCCGCGTTTATAAATAAGTGCGCGAGTATGCGGATGTATCATCACCTTGTTAGACTCGTGAGTGACTTGTTCAGGCTTGTAGCACAGAACGTAAAACTGGCATGTGAAATCTGTCACTTGTTTCGTACTTCATGTCGTCATTGAGTTATTATCTCTGAAGCGGTAATCCTTATTTGAACCATCGTGTTATCTATTCTTTGTGCGAAAAATCCTTGTTTTTATCTACTTATAATTTTATAACTTTATTTATACATCGCTTTATTAAAATATAATAGAGAACGCATTATCTCTTTAGCAAAATAAAAAATCAAGTACTATATTGCGTTGGAACAGTAACGTAAAAATTAGCATTTTTTAAATAATGAAAGGAAATCGACTTTCATGAAAAATAATGTCATTACTAAATTGTTATTATGAGAAAATGCATACGTCAAATACACACGCATATTAATAACGATAGTTGCTATTGATCAATTATTCAATGATAATATTTTACAAAATCACAAAATTACAAATGCGCTTGTTTAAATAATTTAATTTTTTTCATTTTTTTAAATTGTGACGTCCCCTGGCACTTCGACGTCTTAGAACTCAAACTCCAAAAACCCATAGATTACTATCCGCGCTACTGATCTTTTATACACAAATTGACTAACCAAAAAGGCATGTTCTG